ATAATCGGCAATAATATAAAATTTTGAATCATAGATTTTGGGTTGGACGGTTTCTATCGAAATGTGCAATCTAATAGTCATTTGTGTGCAATATGTATAACAATATTGTGTGATTGCAACACATAATAATAATAATAATAATAATAATAATAATAATAATAATAATAATAATAAAAATAATAATAATAATAATAACAATAATAATAACAATAATAATAATAATAATAATAATAATAATTTATATAGTTCACTTTTAAACTTTATATTTCGCTTCGATAATGTACATTCTGACCCTCGCTAATGTGCAATTCGTCTAACACTGGTGTCCATTCCTATTATCATTATTGTGCAGTCTATTGAGCGTTTTATTTATTTCGAAATGATAGAGATATTATAAAAAAGTGCATAAATGTTCAAAAGTACAACCACTAGCTGAATACAACAGCCAACGGCTGTATAGACTGGGAGGACAAGTCAAAAGGCCGCCTATAACCGACCCCAACAGGGTAATGCCTAAAAACACAAAAAACACAACAAACTACAAACACTAAAAGCTCCCAAGAGGACAATGTTGATATGATTCCCGATTAATCCAACTAACAAAGGTTACGCGTAATTAAGATCCTGCAGGCCCGCTTCCGCGACAAAGTGTGGCCACGTCGAATACGACATAATAAAAACTGACAACGTTCCTTGGCGAACATACAAAAATCACGTCACCTTTGTTCCTGTAACCGAGGTCCCTTATTAGTCGAAACCTCGCTAACCGACGTCTACAAAGAAACAACTACCAACGTTCTAGGGCGGTGAAAGCTCAGCCTTTAATCATGACTGTCGTCCAGGTTGCAGACAACCGCCTTTGACATTCGCCTCTAAATAAAATGCGATTACACCTACCTCGTACGGTGGACCACCGTTCTATAAATAGCGAGCTTGACCCTTAGAAAAAGGGGGACTTTTGGGACTTTCAAGAATCTTGTAACAGAACATCAATTAAATCTCAACAATAAATTTCGACGTCGTCTCGTCATGAATCTGACGTCTTTTCCGTTCTTCATATGCTTTACTTTATATTAATCATACACTGATCTTGTTAGAAAACCGTTGTTAAATCTCGCATAACAACAGTTTGGCGCTAGAGGAAGGGCAGCCTCATAATTATTTGAGGTTAATTTTTGCTTTCACAACCAATACTTGCGCAAACTTGGTCACTGAGCACTTCGTTACCAATTACAATTTCTCAATCCGGGCGAGATCGTGCTTCGAATGTTGGGAATAGCCATAATACAAACTGTTCCGCTGGACGTACGACACAAGCACCTCTCACGGCGGATTTCACAAATTTCTTCCAAAACCCGAAATTCATCCCAGGCCTATCGTCACTTGTGGCGCGAGCGTTGCCTAGTACCACAACAACTACTCATTTGCAGACTCCTTTTCCAGTAACTGCGGTAGCACAACCGAATTCC